TATATATATATATATATTCCAATCTGTTTACGGTCACATTGAAATTTTATCATGAAAATATTTAATTGTTTGGAATTTTATCATGAAAATGTTTAGTTGCTTAGAGATTAAAATGTTTAGTGGCAACATTATAATTTCACTTTCCTTAAAAACTTATTGTACATGGTTTTGAAAAAAAAAAATATTTTTAAGCATTTTATATTAAAAATGTTTTATTTTTTCTATTGCACAATTTAATTGTTATTGAACTATATACCCATCTTTATAATTGATTTTAATCCATTGAATTTCAATTAAATAATTCACCACATTTAATCATTATTTAAATTAATATTTGTAATGCTTTTACATTAGTAGATTGGAAAACAGATCTAAATTTTATAGTTAAGACGATTATTGGTTTAGACACACAACAAAACAACCTTAAAAATCTAAATCTGATACGAATTAAATTATTTTTGCCAACATAAATCTTTCATACATCAATAAAGAACCACTGACAATTCTATTAGTTTGTCTATAAAATATCATGAATTCAAAATTAGATATTCCAACGACTTCATTATTATTTCATTTCCAAAGCAACTAACATTTAAGTATGCTATATTTAAGTTTTATCCATTTATGAACGAATCATTATATTTTCTTTATCCACCACTAAATTTCTTGTAATAAGAAATCATCATCTACGTAAATAAAAATATGTAAAAAAGATTAAAAAGTCATTTACTTGAATCCGCACCCGGATCATTGCCTTTTCATTCATTCCCCCATATCTTCTTCCACAATTTGAATTCCTTCTTATCAACATCCTCCTTTGGAGCACTCTTAATGTTGAATTTATTCTTAATCTCTCTAACTTTCTGAGTCCATCCTTCTGTATTCCCAACGCCCCTACGAACATAAGGATAACAAAATCTTTTAAAAACAACAGGGCTATCAAACGGGTACACTCCTACCCGTTCTTTATATGCAAGAATAATCTCCATTATGTTAATGTTGTCGAGTATAACCAATTCGATTGCTTCTTTGTTGGTGGCTGTGTCTTTAATTTCTACATCATTTGAAGTTGAACTTTCGTCAGAGTATTGTGGGTCAGCTTCCGTCATGGGAGATCAAATGGTTGTTTTAGAAAACAGTTGTTGAGATTGAGAACGAGTAAACTTTTTGATTGAAATTTGTTTTTGAATTGCTGTTTTTAAATTTAAAATATCTTAACATTATGAAAATAGCATGAAAGATGTTATTAGGAATATTGACCATTAAAATTTATTTAGTATAGTTAATTAATGGGCTTTTGGACGTGCACTTGCATTTATAAGTTGTGATATTTGGTTTTAAAACAAAGATTAATTATAGTATTGATTATATATGTAATAAGTAATTAGATCAAAATATCAATTTTGCATACACTAAAGTCAGCAAAAGAAGTTGATTTTTTTTCTTCTTTTAATCTGCTTGGACCTCTAATAGTGACATGAGGTGATGCGAATATGAATGTGTTGATGTGCATAGATTGTTGTTTTAAATCCATACCAGCTTTTAATTGATTAGGATATTTAAGCTACTGTTCAAAAACATTCTTTTTCCAAAATCGATTTTGGGAGTATAATGTAAAAACTAGGTCTAATATGTTTCTTATGAATCTGATTTCGGTTATCCTTTTCTAAATTTGTTTCCAACATCTAGCTAGTGATCCGATAAACTTCGACCAGATCAATTCAATCTGGTTCATTTTAAATCAGATCATCGGCTTCATTGTGTGTGTCTACCCTAATTTTGATTTAGGTTGTTGCATCCTAATAATCATTTAAAAAATGCATATTCAAACATCTATTTATTCCACAATATATGGCGATAGTGAGGGATGTAGCAATGTAGGTCCTATCATTTTTTATTTAATAAAAGTTTAAAATAAAATGCTTCTTCCCTAGAGTCTTCTTTGTCATCAATATAGCATGTCTTTAATAGAATAGAACTTATTTTATGAATAATCGGAAGCAAGGCATTCTTCGCATTGTAGACGGTCACTGATCGACAACTCATTCTTGTTCTCACCCAACCGTTTTTTTGAGAATTCTAGACTAAAGAAGAAATATAATATTAAAAAGATAACAACAAGTTAGGTTGTATTTGACGTGTCACAGCTAGTTGATAAATTAGTTTATTTGTTGAATTTTTTAAGTTGTCATGTTTGGCAGACCAAAATGTAGCTTATAAGCTAGTTTTTTTTTTTCCAAATATAACTTTAATTATTTATAAAAAACATATTCTTGTATATGTCATGTTATGTATTTCAGCTAGTTTATTAACTAGTTAATACCAAAAATCATTTTTTATCAGCTAGTTTATAAACTAGCGGCTAGTTTTTAGCTAACAACTAGCTTGTCAATGATCAATTAGTTTTCAGCTAGTTTATTAACTAGTTAATACATATTCTTGTATATGTCATGTTTTCAGCTAGTTTTCAGCTACTTTAATTATTTATAAAAAACATATTCTTGTATATGTCATGTTATGTATTTCAGCTAGTTTATTAACTAGTTAATACCAAAAATCATTTTTTATCAGCTAGTTTATAAACTAGATGCTAGTTTTTAGCTAACAACTAGCTTGTCAATGATCAATTAGTTTTCCAGCTAGTGCGTCAAACATAACTTTAATCATTTAGGTTTGAAAATAAAAACAAAAACCACAATAAGACTATTATGAAAATACCAAATTTTTTATTTTAAAACTAAATGACCTTAACCAAAATACCCCCACAAATTACAAATAATAGATATACAACAGCTTGTAGAAAACCTAATACTAAAATATTTACCTACAAAAACTCGATCAAATATGCTTAAAGATAGAGGGGAACGAAAATAGCCACAAATATTTATACATGTATAGAATGCTATGACCCATAATATCTGTCGTTCATTTCAATGGATGAAAATCAATGATGGAGACTGTCGATCCGCATCATCTATTCTTATTGATCAACATCATTTGTTTTTATTGGCTATCTTTAACCCTCATGCAACCTATAAAAACACCAAGCAACCATTACTTCTTCATCTACATTCTACCAGCAATATCTCACTATTCTATTTTAGTTAACCCCAATTTCGAGTTTTGTGTGATTGAATGATTAGGGTTTTGGTTTCTAACTTCCCTTGACTGGTTTCCGTGGTTCTACTCACTCCAGTCATCCTAATGATGGATTTGATGATTTGGGTGAAAATCTCCATGAACCCTAAAAAACCTAAATTGGGGATAATTCAACTAATGATGAATTAGGATTGGATTCTATGACCTAGATGACATTTGACAGTAACAAATCCAATTGGAATGCTCAAATTCATCCGTTATGGTAAAACCAAGTATAAGCATGGATTTGTATTGATTTTTAGGGGAATTGGAATTAAAACAATGAAATCCTTTTTACGTGAGCATTTAATGAGTATATGATACTCATAAACATGATTTTCTACTAATAATATGATTTGAATATAAGAACAAGATGGCTTGAGTTATCTATAGTTGAATCTATGGAATACTTAGCCAAAATGGCAATTTGGGAAACATGGAATGGAAATGACGGTTTCATAGTTAGGTTATGTAATTACAATGGGTTTAGTTGTGGTTTTATGTAGTTGACAACATCCAACAATGTTTTGAATGCCTTTGTAATAAGTCATAATGGTTGGAAGGCAAGGATGGGCAACTTAAGCTCCTAATCCTTTCATTTGTGTAATTTTGAGCATTATAAGCTTATTTTGTAAATTGATGACTTAATGAATTAAGTTAAATGTTTTGACATAATAAAAAATCCTCTAAATATGTTTGGGAAGCCATAAAAGTGGTTTAGAATGATGTTGGATGTGAACCTTGATCATTAATTGCTTAATTGCTAACTAGAATGCTTAGATATGATTTTATGCTTTCTTATAGCTTTGATGACCTCTAAAGGTCTTAATAATTAAGTCATCATGATGGTGGGGATTAATTGAGTATTTGAGAAGTTTATAAACTTTATTTAGTCCTTAATAACCACTTGGTGAAGTTTGGTGGCCATTAGAGGTCTAGCGTACAAGTTACAAAGATTTTAGCAAAATTCTACACAAAATGGTGACTCGCACTCGTGACACGGGGGCGTGTCAGATAAGGCATACATGACACACGGACATATCATTCATGACACGGGGGCTTGTCAAAGGTTATGTTAAGTGTGGTTTTTCGTGGAAAACCTAGTAAATGACCTTCGATTTCCCTCAAACTTTATAGAGTAAATTACTAAAATCGTCCTATGGTTTGGTCAAAATTTCACGTTTGGTTCCTAACTTTTTTTGCACTCAGATCGTCCATGTGGTTTAATTTTGTTGCGTTTTTTTATCCCTATGGTTTGGTCAAAATTGTGTGTTTGGTCCCTAACTTTATGTATGTAATAGACGAAAAACGCAACAAAATCAAACCACAGGGACGATCTGAGTGCAAAAAGAAAGTTAGGGACCAAATGTGCAATTTTTACCAAACCATAGAGACGATTTTAGTAATTTACTCAACTTTATATATAAGATAATATGAAGTAAATAAACTTATGAGGATTATCTAAATGTTAAAAATCTATGGGGGTATTTTGGTAATTTTAATGACTTATGTCCATATATTATATAAGTGGTGTTTGGAGAGTGTTGCTTTAAGGAAATGAGCTAGAAGGGGACTAACTAACCTTTTTATGATTGAGGTGAGTAAATGTTGGCATTTTCCCACTTTGGGTTACATGGCAAAATGATTTTTGTGATAATGAAATACTAATGCTTTGAAACGTTTTGAAATGAAAGTGTTAAGTGCTTTTTGAAAGAATGTTTTAAAAGAATGCCTTGAGGCAAGAATGTTTTTGAAAGCAAAGAACGTTTTGGAAGAACGAATGTTTTGATAACGTGTTTGAAATGTTATGAAATATAGATGATTTATGTTTGAAATGAATATTTTGATACTAACGCATAAAATGTGTAAAGCATGGAAAGTAATGAAAAAATTGGAAAATAATGTCAAGAATATATTGCTCGAACCATGATGTCCCCGTAACATGATCTAGAGGAATCTACTGGGGTGATGTCACCCCTTCACGAAGTAGATGTCTTGATTAGCATGATGCCTTGGTGGATTGATTTGTTCTTTCCACCTTGGTCTAGACTTGGGGGTACCCTAAGTATAAAAATGGCAGCAATTTAATACCGAAATTAGCTCTTAATGATAAAAGAGAATGGAATGTGGAAAGATGTCTTTTGAAATTAAATGATAAGATATGAAATGATATTTATGATGTGTATGAAAAAAAATTATTTGAAAATGATCGAAATTTTTTTATGGTCTAAAACTATGTTATGTTATGAATGAAATGATTATTTATGTAAGTGCTTTGAAATGTTTTGGGTTACAAACTCACGTAGCTCACGAGACATTATTGTCTTACGTATCTCTTTTTAATGGAATGTATGATATAGTTATGATATAGTGAATGGACTAGAGCTTGTTAAGTTCCTTATTAAATGTAATGATATAATTCGTATTTGCTTGCTATGATTTGTTTGATGCTTCATGGTAACACCAAATGTTTTAATCATAAATGTTTTGTGGGACTATTTTTTGTTGAACGTGGGTTAATATCCGAAATGATTATGTTTAAACCATAGCATTTTAAAGTTTGAAAAAGTTTTAAATTTTGGGGTGTTATAGAATCGAATAATCAATATCACCCTAATGGCATACCAAAATGAAAGAGGGAATGATATTATTGATTTCATTCTAGTTGTTCGATTTGGTTGTTCTTATGAAAAAAAATAGTCCAATGCAAGAGGAACTTAATTTCATCAAATCCCATCTTTTTCATTCCTTTTCCCACACATGTTGTTCTTATTTCCAATACTTCCTACGATTCGAATTGACGAATATACCCACAACACATCACAGCATACAAGCTCGTAACCTCTTATTCCTAAAGTTCTTTTGATGGGGTCGCTTCGATTATGTGACATGGTCTTAATTGACCCCATTTGGGAAATAATATTTAGGATGATGGTAATGATTAGATGACTATTAAGTTTAACACACTGTT